GTGTGGGGGGGGGGGGGGGTAGAGGTGGATTACAGATCCGATTGTGACTGCAGGAGTGTGGGGATAAATTGCAGACAGATGGTGATTTCAGGGTGGTGCGGGGGGGATCACAGACTGCTCTGGGGAAGGGGCTATCGAGTGGGTGGCCTTTAGGCATGGAACAGAGCAAAAAGGAAGGTAAGCTTGGTGACTGGGAAGTGCTGCAGGGGTGGAGGGGCAGGCGTTGAGGTTCAGGGGGACCCCAGCATTAGCGCGGGGCTGTGGAGAAGGGGGCTCTCCCCTCACCAAGTTGGCTGTGTGAGGGAGTTTGGCCGTGATTTGCGATGGGCATGGGCCTGGCTGAGGAACCCAGGCGAGAGAATTCTGGATCTGTCCGTTGCCCCTACAGCTTGAGGGCCAATGGAACCTTGCTGCAGCATCGCGGGTCCACGTGTGTCACTGCATGTTGTGAATAAAGCTTGCTATTGCGGATACTGCGGCTCCATCTACCTCCTGCCCTCATGGACCCGGGGCAGCTCCCCAGCCAGCAAGGGGCTCCACTCAGCCCGGGAGGCCAGCAGGAGAGTCGCCCCCAGGAAAGGCTGATGGCAGCTGGCTCTCCATCTCCAGACATGCTCTGCTCCAGTTGTCGCCAGCATAAAACAACAAATATCCCTCCCTCCATCAATGGCTCCACGTCTGGCTGGCGGTTTCAAGGGGGGTGCCCCCGGGGTCGGCACTGGGGCCAGTTTTGTTCAGCATCTTTATTAATGACCTGGATAAGGGGATGGATTGCACCCTCAGCAAGTTTGCAGATGACACGAAGCTAGGGGGAGAGGTAGATACATTGGAGGGTAGGGATAGGGTCCAGAGTGACCTAGATAAATTGGAGGATTGGGCCAAAAGGCATCTGATGAGGTTCAGAAAGAACAAGTGCAGAGTCCTGCCCTTGGGACAGAAGAATCCCAAGCACTGTTACAGGCTGGGGACCGACTGGATAAGCAGCAGTTCTGCAAAAAAGGATCTGGGGATTATAGTGGATAATAGTGTGCCCTTGTAGCCAAGAAGGCTAATGACATATTAGGTTGCATTAAGAGGAGCATTGCCAGCAGATCCAGAGGTGTCATTATTCCCCTTTATTTGGCTCTGGGGAGGCCACATCTGGAGTATTGTGTCTAGTTCTGGCCCCCCCCCCCCCCACTACAGAAAAGAGGTGGATGCATTGGAGAGGGTCCAGCGGAAGGCAATGAAAATGATTAGGGGGCTGGAGCGCCTAATTTTTGAGAAGCTGAGAGATTTGGGCTTGTTTAGTCTAGAGAAGAGTGAGGGGGGATTTGAGAGCAGCCTTCAACTACCTGAAGGGGCGTGTCAAAGGCGATGGAGAGAGGCTGTTCTCAGTGGTGGCAGGTGGCAGAACGAGGGGCGATAGTCTCCAGTTGCAGTGGGGGAGGTCTAGGTTGGATATTAGGAAGAAGTATTTCCCTAGGAGGGTGGGGAAGCCCTGGGATGGGTTCCCTAGGGAGCTGATGGAATCAACGCCCCTAGAGATTTTGAAGTCCCAGCAAAGCCCTGGCTGGGATGATTTAGTTGGGGTTGGTCCTGCTTTGGGTGGGTGGGGTTTGGACTGGATGACTCCCGAGATCTCTTCCAACCCTGTGATTCCTTTCATCCTATGTGCACCGGGGAAGGGGGGGCACTGACTGCAGGGTGCCGGGGAGAGCGCCCCCTTCTGGGCCCTGCAGCACAGCCCCCTAACACTGCCCTGGAGCAAGGAGGCCATGACTGCCCGGGAAGAGAGCCCCTGCCCGCCCCTTGCAGCTGCCTGCCCATTCCTTGGCAGTCTCCATCCGTGGCAGGCCAGGCAGGCTGCAGCGTGGG